GCAAATTGATTGTTTTAGCAAGGGAGGATCGCTTTATACTCGAGCGTGAAGCGCGCTGAGCGAGTGCATCGACTTGAAGCTATAAAGTGCGATAAATCAGCAAATACAATGTTAAACTGAGAGAGATTGATGAACAGACCGAGCTTTCCTTTCCCATCTCTCGACAAATGTGTTTCGTGTCGGTTCTATCTTTTCACCTAAATATTCCTCAAAAATATCAAGCTTTTTCAAAATCTTCCAACGCCGTGCCACGTTGAAACAAATGCAAAAGTCAGCGAGGAAAAAAAAACAGCGTGAAGTACGCTGCGTCGTACGAACAAAACAGACGGTTGCATAATGAACGAAAAAAAAAAGAAAACGAAAATGCAGAGAAAAAAGAGGAAAGGCACAACAAGTGAACTCATAAAGGGTGATCGCACAAGAGAAAACTGTCGCAATAAAAAGTTCTCGTATACAGTCGTGAGGTATCAGTTCGTCGCCAAGTATGTATCTTTACTTGGTTCCTTGGTTCTTACAATGCGCACTCGCGTCACAGGGTGAGCAAAGTCGCGCCATTAAAAGAAAAGCTTCGACAAACCACATACTGTGCGCGACAGAACAACGTCGAAAATGTCTCCCGTCGATTGTTATTTCCTTTGAGGGATTCGCGTAGGCCACGCGAGCTTTCGATACCAATTGGCTCTTACACGCTGACCAATAACAAGCCTATTTTCTGATTCTCAGTGTGTTTTACGTGAATTCTTTCAAGTGCCAGAATTCAACAAAATCATTTCGGCAAGCAAAATGATTTTTTTTTGCAACTGATCAATTTTCGTTTTCGAACTTCATTGGTAACTTTACCATGCATGATGCAGCAGTAGCACTTGCAGCATACATGTCTACACATTTTTCGAAAAAGATTCAAGTTTACGAACGCAAAGTTGTCATATAAATGTCAGAAACCCCGCGAATGATGAGCCACGCACATTCGACGCATACTTTTATCAACGTTGAGGAGTATTTTACATTTTTTATCTTTCAACATCGCATCCCCTTCCAGCCGGAATACAAAAGTCAAACGGGTGATGCAATACAGAGTACAAGCGTCGGGAACGTCACAATAAATCTGCGGTCTTGTTAATTACTCATTCCACGACGCGTGTGCAGTGCCGCTACTGCAAGAAAAAAGAGGAAAGAAGGAAGGGGAAGCCGAGAGACGGTTCTGTGCGCGTCAAATAGCCCGTGGGCGAGAAAAGAAGGTAGGAGGGCTGGAGGGAGGGGGCTAAAGCTAACGATCGCGGACAGCTCGCATGCGTATACGCGGGGAAAATGCGAGAGCCAAGGGAGAAAAGTCGAGAGGGAGAGAAAGTATTTTCGCCGAGATGCCACAGTGACGTTTGTCTACTTTGAAGCTTTTGCCGCGGCTTTTCGGTTTTGTCAGGGCTATTTTTCCAAGCCGACAGCGCTTCGACACACACACACACACACACACACACGCGCGCGCGAGTTTATAAACCAGAACCTCATTACCGACTATATGTTTGCTGAGTGCTTTTGATGACTTTTTTTACGCAGATTAGCATCGAATTATTCATCGATCGCGCTCAGAACTTTCAATACGACTGACGATGATGTTTTCGCAGCTGAAAAACTCGAAGGATCATGAAACTGAATGCGTTTTTAAAACCACCAATATTAGTTCTCCAGATGAGGCGATTTCCTAGTTGTTAAAAGTAACGGATTTAAATGTAACAGTTGTGAAGAATATACACGAAGAGGAAGGACAGGTCACAAACTACTCCGTTACATGTACAGTTGACTCGATTGTCTGTTTCTAGAAGCGCGCGCGGCTCGGACGCCCGTTACTACTCGAATTATTAAAGTTTGCGCTAAAACCTTCGACTTGAAGTTCGTCCTCTCGCTCACTTCTGAATTTAATTGAGTTTGCAAAGAGATTTCTGATGGCCCTGATTGGCGCACTCTGTTCCCGAAGCTTCAAATTAAACACAAGCCGAGCGGGAGAGAATCCCCGCTAATTATTTGCATGGCGTCTTGCTTGTCGATGTACAAACACGCGCGAGCGCAGTAGGCAAAAGCAGAAGGATTGCGCGCGAACGGCAACGTTTTAAGCCGGGACAAGTTTCGGATGGAGATAAAGACTCCGGTAAGCTTTTGGACTAAGCAAAGAGCAAGAGAGTATGAAAAATCAAGGCGCATCTCTTGCTTGCATCCTGAGAATTCGAGAGAAGGCGTCGAGACGCAGGCTCGAACGTCGCGAATAAAGGAGAAGACGTAGGTGCGGTCTTGAAGGCGGAATCGCAGAGGGGAAACAGACCGAGCGAGAAAATCGCGTTGGCATCCCCTTGGCTGGGACGCTCAGTAATGCGTACGCCGTTTTCTATCTCTCTTGCCTCGCCAAGGGAATCGGACGCCTACAAACTCGCGCAACAGGAACACGAAAATCCTCGCGCGCATTTTAATCTCTCGGGGAAGAGGTGTCGATCTCGAAGCCTCGGGGTAAGTGGCGAGAGCGGGGGAGGCGGGCAGAAGAAAAAAAGTATGTAACGTTCTCCTACGGGCGCTAAGCGAGCGGAATTTCCGCGACCGAGCCACCGCTAAAATACGAGCCCCTGCGACTTCTCTCTTTTTTCCCTCCCTACCTTTTCAGCCGAACCGACGCTATCTTTCCTTGGAGTAGTTTTTTTCCCTTTTCGATCTGCCACACCACGCTGCGCCAGCTACGTGTGTGTGCACGCGCACCCGGCGCTTCACGGGGCTCGCGACGATACCAAAATACGATGACGAGCTGAATGCGGAATTGAAAATTTTTTTTATCCTTCGGACGCTCCGAGGGACGCGCTGCTGGCTGGGAATTGATTTTTTTTTCCGCCCTTTTCTCGCTGTTCTACGCTTTGAGACTCGTAAATGGAGAGCAGAAGAGGGCGGAGTCGGAATTTTCGACTATTTGCCTTGAAAGCATTGTTCTTGCGTAATCAATTGGCAGACAAATCGATGTCGACTCGAGATGAGTGTTGTTAATTTATTAAGCTCTCATTTTATCTCGGTATTCCTGTTAGAATTTAACAAAACCGCGATTCATCGCACATGAATAATTATTGCGTTGGAAATTGAACATTTTCATTGTAATATCCAGAGTCCATGCGAGAGGAAACATCGCGAACAATGTATCGTCGAATCACGGAAAATCAAATGGAAAGGCGCAATGTAAAGCGTTGAAACAGCAATTAAGCAAATATAAGGCTCACGGGATAATAGCGTTGGTCGCGATTATTAAAAATTGTTAGCCGCGCGCCAAAGACAGAAAAGAAGAAGAAAAAAAAGAAGATGGAAGCATCTATTGTCCGTCGCCGATAGCGCGTAATTGCATTTGCGATAATCCGCGGGAAGACGAGGTTAATGAATAATCAGGATATAGCCCCGAGCTCTCGGGATAAAAGCTTTTGGCCGCATTGTGGCTCGTCAGTGTGATCATTTGGAGCGCAACTCTTTCACTGCCGAAGAGTGATCGCCGAGCGAGCGCGAGGCTGAAAGAAGTCAAAAAGTTCTCGTTCGCGGAAGGGTCGTCCAATTTACGTCCGAGCAAGAAAGAGAAATAGCCGCGCGCAACTGCGAGAGTTAAGAGATAAGTACGCTAAGCCATCTAGGCGTTAAACGAGAGCGAGCTTTTTCCGCCAAAAAATAAGCCCCGCAAATCCTGCCTGCTCTCTCTCTCTCTCTCTCTCTCTCTCTCTCTCTCTATGCGAGTATTATCCGTTGCTGCGGAATAATGCCAGTCGACCCATCCGCGCCGAGGAAATTCGGTGCAAGTTCGAACCGCGGCAATGTGGGATCGCTGAAATTTAATCTAGTGCGCGCGCGGAAAAGTGACGATCGCGAGCTCGTAAAACGTCATCGTTTAATGAAAGCCGCACAGCTTAAAGCCTCTGTCCCGGTGGCAGGGATTAAGACGCGCGTTGCATCATCGCTCGAGAGTTTATCGTTTATAACTGAATTAGACGAAAGGCTCGCTTTCGTTAACGTCAAACGACCCATATCACGTGGGTAGCTGCGTGGGCTGTTTGAACAATCGTTGGGTTACGTAGAACTCGGGACATGCAGATCTAGAGATGCACTAAACTCGGTTTCTCTCGATCTCTCTTGCGAAATATCTAACAATGTACGGAGTGGCTTCGTATTTTGAAGCCATTAAAATGGTCCGGTATCAGCTTGACGTCTAGTTTATACTTGTGTCTCTCTGCCTGCGCATCGCAGCCAGCGTGATATTACGTTCTTGCTGCCAAAACAGTAGTAGAGCACCGAATCCGACCCGACAGACTTGCTCTTCCGCGATTATTAATGCAGAGACGATAATCGAATGCTGGCATGCAGCACAACATTTTCTGACTAATTATAACGGATGACGCGCGAAAGCCACTAATCCAAAAGCGGCTAATTAATTCGCCATCTGTAAACACGACACGTTTGGAATCACATTAATCCCGAGCGCGCGCGCGCGAGCTTTTGGTAGACGCGATCGATCAAGCGAGAGGGGAAAGCTTTTCCTGGCGCCCTCGCGACAGATTAGAAAGCGTCCCCTAGAATTGGAAATTAATACGGGCGTTCGCACCATAGAATTCATCCGATTGATCTGCCTTCGGCCGACGGCTGAATTTACAGTTTCAACCATATCGAACAATCAATTTGGAGCCGCGCGGCAACTTTGCGTGCGCCTGAAAACATCGGGTTCCCGAGGTGTGCGCGTGTGCTTTATTGAGGCGGTATTAGGCAGCCCATTGCTCGGAAAACTTTACGACAATGGGGGCTCGGCGTATAGCCAGCGCTTCCCCGCCAAATTTCGCCCAGTCCAAGTTACAAACTGAATTCGTACGCTCATTTGCATTTTACGCAGATCAGCCGATCAGCCCGTATCGCTCAGCTGTACAGCTCTCTACGTGTTGGCCCACTCTAATGCAAACAAGCGTATAACTTGCCCTCGAAGACTGCACTTCCATCAAACTTACTTTTTTCTTCTCCAGCGGCAACGATAGTTCGAGTTCTCCTTCGATTCTTTGCCTTGTGAGTTGAATTCCAAAGAGAAGCTTATTACTGAATTCCTCGAGGTCGTTATTTCAATGATAACTCAGCTGTAACAAAGAGAAGAGTGATGGATTTTAATTGGCTTTTACCGGATGGACTCGTGAAAAGCTAATATATCGCTTTTAAAAGTTGCAAAACGAATGGGCCCGCTCATGCAATATGCATCTTCGCGATTCGTCGCGCTCGCGCGCGCGAAAAGTTTGACGCGCATTGAAAAAGTCCGCACCGTGGCAAAGCAAATTTTTCCCTCTGTCCGCGGCAGCCGCAGCAATTCCAATTAAATATTCATCTCCGCTCCGAGTGCTGTGGTTGGCAAAACTCCCCATATACGATACGCCAATTACACCAGGCTCGACTCTTCGCGTTCTGCAAATATTTGCATTATATGTAGAGCGGTGCGTGTCTCTCCGCATTCACTTTCGCGCATAGTTGGTGCGGAGCATTCGATCAACGCCAGAGATCTCTACTCGCCGGGAATACTTAGAGAAACTTGTCTGCGATTCGATGAAGGAGCCCCGGCTGATAACTTTGTTAAATCAAACACGTCGCCTCGCTATACCGCCCCAAAAAAGACTGCGCAGCCAAACTCAATACAGCCCAACTTGGGCTTCCTCTATCTATCCAGTTCCATTATCACAAGCACAATAAGCGAACTTGCGCCTTTCGCCTGTAAACTGTTAATTAATTAACCGCGGCAGATTCAATGCGAAGCTGCACAAGGCAAATAGGCTGGCGGCAGGCCTGGGTTACGGCTAAATTATGCATTCAAAATATAATCTGTTTTTCGTGCAAAACCGATGCAAACCAGCCGTCCTGAAAACACTAATCAACGGGATTTCTGGCTCGAAGCGCTCCCCGTACCCGCCTCATTTCCATTGGAAAAGCGGCTTTCGAAGCAACCTGTCCTACGACTTCGTACCGGCAAACATATCCCCACTCTTGCGCAATTTTTCGTAGGCGTAATTGGCAGGATGAGACACGGCGGCGGCGGCGCGAGCGTCTGCCGTGCAATAAAGTCCTTTATTTATCTCACGAACGCGTGACTCGAATTTGCGCACGGCGCGCATGCAAATTCGCCCTAACCTTTCCTCGGAACGCACTGGGTTTACGGCGCCCGCACGTCACTCGAAAGAGAAAAAAAAAAAAAAAAGAAAAAAAATAAAACGAGACCGGGAAATTGGTTCAGTAGAGCACGGGAGCTTTTGGAAAAATGTCAAGAGCCTGTACCAGCTGTAATCGCGTGTTCCGGCGGTCAAGCGCCTACACTGCTACAGCTCTCCGGGGATAGGGGCTGGCGGGGAAAAGAGCGTTAAAAGCGCACGAGAACCGAATTGAAATCAGCCGCGCGATGAGATTATGCTGATAAGCGAATAATTTGTTTTCACTAGGCTTGCCGCCAATCGTCGGAATTCTCTTTCTCTCTCTCTCTCTCTTCGTTTTAGTTAACGACACTTGATGGAGCGTAAAAAAGAGTGTAATTATTGGAACCTGTCTCTCCTCCTCCTCCTCTCTCTCTCTCTCCCTCTCTCTCTCCCTTTTATTGTCTGTGTAGAATTGCGCAATCGAATGAGTTTTTCAGAGCTCGCCAGGTCTGTTTGGGAAGGGAGAAAGTGCAGTTATTGAAAAAGTTACGTGGCCGTTATCAGTGTGGCTCGACTTGCCCTCTGTAATTTTGCTTGCGTTTGCTTTATCTGTTTCGCTGCTGGAAACTAGTTCAATGAAGGATGAAATTTCAATTACACCAGCTCGCGGCGATGTGTAATTTCGATTTGCCGTTTTACGACTGTCCCTCAGCTATTTCTTTAACTTTATCTCGTCGTTTCCGATCGCGTGTTCCGCTCACGGGCATACGACTAGACTAGACCCCTCCAAATTCGAAGGCATTGCCAATTTTATTATCGCGCGTGCGTTTGCGAATGCTCGTCAATATCAATACCGACATTACTATACATCTCGTTCTTTCTCAAATCATGACAAAAATAATTGACGTATTGATTGTTCTTTCCAATACTCCAATGGGGACATCGTAAAATTTCCAGCTGGGAAATTCGAGGGCGTCTCGCAGTATCGACGAGTTTTGTAGCAAAATCAAAGGATTAAATGTGATTTCAGTAACCATCATGAAGTGCAAAAGCACTGCTCAAAATTACATACATGCGACCATTTAAACTACCAAGCGGACTCGTTTCGGCTTGGCTTGCATAAATCATTTGACCATTGGAGCGATGCGAGAATGAAAGCAAAAATAGACCCATTGAAAATCACCCGCAAAAGCGCAATAAAGGTCAGACAGGCGAGGATCGAATTCAGGCAAATAATTGACGATCCGATGCTCTTTTAAGACAATCGCGTGCTGCCAAGATAGATACATCAATAATAGACAACTTGAAGCTTAATAAATGCTTTGCTCTTTTTTGGGGTTAAAAGCGAAATTTTTAATCTGAAGCCTATATACACGAAATGGGTCTTTGGAATCAATATCGCCGCGTCCAAGAGAAGGAGAGAGAGAGAGAGTTAGGAATTGCCTTGGAGGGACTTTTTTCGTACTGCTCCATTTTTTTTTCTATAGCGAAAACGGAAGAAAGAACATCTCAATGTCTCTCGGCAGGAGCTGCCGCCGTACGATATACATCTCGTATCGATTCCACACGACGCAGGCAAGGCACACATTCTTTACAAGCCGGGTAGTATCTTCTTTTTTTCTTCGCTTATTTTTCTCGATATCGCCAAGAGAGAGAGAGAGAGAGAGAGAGAGAGAGAGAGAGAGAGAGAGAGAGAGAGAGAGAGAGAGAGAGAGAGAGAGAGAAAGGGAGAGAAAGACGCTGGCGCGTTCGACGATATCGATTGTCTACGTCCTGCGAGACATCATCGCCACTTCTTCGGGATTACAATTGGTGAACGGATATGTGTGCGAGGGTAACGCGCACTTTCACGGTGTAGTCGTCGCATCTCCGATAGAACTCGTTTCTGCTTGTTCGACCCTCCCCTTCCCTGTGCAAAAGTCGCATGTCAAAGTAGCTTTTAAACTGGCGATCCACCGTGGTTAGTCAAATATTGTGATTCGTGTAAAACGGGAGATGTACTTGTACGTTCGTTTGCTGAAATAGCCGGTTCGTGGAAGTTGTCGTCAAGGTATATTTAATATTTTAACGAACTGTTTATAGTATCAAGTGACGTTCAAAACTACATTAAAACGAAGGGAAATTCCAGTATATCACAGGTTTTAATTGTCGTGATATTTATGCATTTTCGCATCGCTTAATTCAGCAAATCAGGTCGATTCGCGAACAGCGCTGCATCGATTCCGAATAAATATCCATAAAAGTGCGGAGGTTTAATTAGTCCCCCTCTGCCCGTTTTTCTCGGCACATTTACGCGTCACGCGGCTAATTGATATGGTAATTAATTTCACGCACTGCCGATATCATTGAGAAGAGGACAATAAGATCTGAAAGGCGGCAGCTTACAATAAAGCGTTCGAAATAAAAAAAGCTCGGCGAGCTTTAATGTAGACTGTAGATAGTCGTGCAGTAGCAGTTGTTTGGCGTTGCTCAACGACGACAAGCTTAGCGTTGTCAGGCGCGCGCACGCCTAATAAACACCGGGCATCCGACCATAAAAACTTGTAACGACCGTTATCCCTCGGATTGTCGTTCTCTCTCTCTCTCTTTCTCTCCTCCAATTATGTCCCCGGCCGCGCGGAATACACGTTTAATTTGAGCGCCAAAAGCGAACAAACCGTTGACTCTTGTCCCTTCGTTCGTGCGCGTCTATTCCGTAACGATTTTCCTTCGGTCCGTCGAATGGATCGAGCCAGCGCATTTGTTTTTGATCGATTCTGTAGGGCAACAATCGCACCGCGAAGGAAGCGTACGCGAGCGGTATATATGTATTTCTTTTCGACGAAAGCCCATTGCGGCAATTGAATATTCGATGTAGCGCGCGGTATAACTGCTGATTTGGACGCCAACTGAACCGAAAGGCCACGTATATACACAGTACGATTCGCACAACTAATTAATTGGATTTCAAGTTTACTCGCGTGACTATTTAGTGCGCGCGTGCGCACTGGAATCGACGCCTTTTCGTCCAACCGCGCAATCTGATTCCCAATGTAACCCGGTTACAGATGGACATCACTGCAGATAGTCGCTGAGCTGTCGCTGCAAAATGCAGGAAGCCCCGATTGCGGTGCCGCTGTATTATTGCAGTCTCCGCGCAAGGAAAGCGAAAATAATTCCCGGAACACGACGGAAGCTCGAACCAAGTGGCCATTATCCCCGCAACAGAGCGCGAGGGAGAATTAACTTAGTTTACCGAGGCGGCAAAGCTCCTCTCTCCACTCTTCGACGTTGGCAATTGTTCTGCGCTGCGTGCTACACGCGTCGACCCGTTTCTCCCACCGTATGGCCCCGAAGCGCAATAAGAAAAAGGACGCTTCGCTCCCTGCTTTCCTTTTTAATTGAGTTTCGGCTTTGCAGTCAGTAGGGAAAAACAGGAGGCAGGGTCCCATGTAGCCGCGCTAATATTTTATAAAGCGCGATGATGTTTAATGAAATGACAAGAGAGGCAGAGAGGAGGAAGAGTCGGGCTGTGCTTCAATTATTTAGAGTATTTTGGGGATTCGGGCTACAGCAGGCCGCGCTGGCCGACGGCCTTGTGCTTCGCTTGCTGCAGCTACGCGTGTATCTTTTACCCACTTATCGGCTTAAAAAAGGGGAGGCCCGCTCGAATGAAAATGAGATTGCGCCCTAATTACATGCCCTCTGCTGGATTTTCTTTTCTCTTGCCGTTGCTGATTGAGAGAGCCTTTTCTCCCCGCCCTCTCTCTCTCTCTCTCTCTCTCTCTCTCTTCTCTCCGGTTCATTTTTTTTCTTTTCTTTTGGATTTATTTATTGCGCTCCTACTAACTCCAGATATTCGACTTTTCGTTTTTAGCTTATGGGATTTAAATTGTTCGGCCGCGTTGTGAAATCCCATATATTTTTTAATGATGGATTTTAACGTCAACGTGTTATTTATTAAATACATTAAGCATTCACCGAGG